CGCAGGGATGCGCCGCGGTCCCTGCCCCGCAGCCGGCAGGACATCGCCATCTCCCGGCGGCTCCCGCACTGCTCCTGGCACAGCGCACACTTCGTCGGGATGGAAGTACCAGTGACTTCCCGTGAGGCCTCTACCCCTGCCCATTGCTTGCAGGAGAAAATAACTCCACTGAATGCTCTGACCATCCTCTGTCCCAAGATCAATGGAAGGGGGACATGGTCCTGAAGCCTTGTGTGATACTGAAATAAGGAATTACCAGTTTTGCTTTGGAGAATGGAAGAGGCTATTGAAAAGCTGGAACAAGTTGTACAGCTTCTCTTGAAAAAAATGAGGAAAGAAAGCTCAGGGAGTTGGGATTGTTTAGCCTGGAGGAGGCTCAGGGGAGACCTTCTCACCCTCTGCAACTCCCTGACAGGAGGTTGGAGTCAGGTGGGGGTTGGTCTCTTCTCCTAGGCAACCAGCAGCAGGACAAGAGGGCACAGACTCAGGCTCTGCCAGGGGAAGGGTAGGTTGGATATTAGGAAGAGATTTTTTCCAGAGAGAGTGCTCAGGCATTGGAATGTGCTGCCCAGGGAGGTGGTGGATTCACCATCCCTGGAGGTTTTCAAGCTGAGACTGGATGTGGCACTTAGTGCCATGGTCTAGTGACCATGGTAGAGTTGGACTCGAAATTCATTCACCATAGAGCAACAAGTTTTCCTTTCCTATCTCAGGCTTAGTAGAGTCTAGACTGAAGGATCTGATACCAAATGTCCAAAGTAGGGAAAAGATCATAGAATCAACTGGGTTGGAAAAGACCTCAAAGATCATCAAGTCCAACCCTACCGTGGTTACTAGACTGTAGGTAGGTGTTTGTTCCTGCTCCTGTCCTGGAGGTTCTTTTCCCTTAGGAGAACACAAGTCCTGCTGATGTTTTAGGGCCAAGAGGTATTTGATCACCACCAGTTTGCTTTGTGCTCAGGACATAACAACTTAAGCAGTTATTAGACTTGAGCACAGGCTTCACACATTGAAATGATGCCTGAGGCAGCCTCTGCAGCAGTTCAGCTTTGTTCCTTGTCTCCCTTGTATAATTTCACTGTTTCAGGGCACAGTGAAGAAAATCTCATTGCAAATTTAATTGCATGTCTGACCACCCGTGTAAACTGTGACTTTGGCCTCTTTTGTCAAACTTTAATACAGTGTATGAAGTGTGGAGCATAATCACAGCAGCTTCCAAGCCCCAGGAAATCCCAAAGCAGCTCCCTAGAGAGCTACAGGCTCTGAACAGGCCCATCAGTAGCTCTGAGCTCATCACTGAAGACAATTTAGCCACGGTAAAAAGCATAGCAATTAACTTTTGAGTTCAAGGGGCTCTTTAAAACAGAGAAAAAAAATTCCACACCAGCAGAATCTTTATATATGTTCCCTTCATCTGCCTCATCACAAACATCTGAGCAATGAATTCAGGAACTCTGTTAAAGTGTAACTGCCTGGCTGAGTTCATATTTGATACAGCCATTCCTGAGACTTGCAAATATTTACTCTGTAGCTAAGAATTGGCATTGAAAGATGACATTTCATTTTGGTAGCTGAAGCAGAAAGTGCTGTTTTAATTAAATGGCCATGATATGATATAGTGCCAGCAGAGAATCATCTGCACCTTTTCCTTTGAGCCTATGTAGGGATCATTTAAATTATAAGCAAAAAAAGAAACCCAAAACACCCCAGTTTTTGGGGTATTCAAAGCTAGCTTTGCTTTCCACAGGCTATGTACAGAACAGGAACCAGTACAAATGGTCATAGCCATGCACTGGGCACTAAGAGATCCTGCTGGAAGCACCACCACTGCTCCCCTTTTGCAAAAAAACCAGGATCCCCAAGGCCAGCAACACAGGGGAGCCCACAAAACCTGCTGAGCCCAGAGAGAAGGGCACTTTACAAGAATACTGTTGGTTTGAACTGTTTGTCCTCTCTCTGTAGGGTGCCAAGTGCTGGTGCTTGAGTCAGTAAATCTCTTTCGGAAGTACATTTCCATCCTGGATATCCCCATTTCCTGCCTCCTGCCCAGTGATGCACTCTTCATACTCACAGAGGAGGAGACTGAACAAGCCAAGGTGAGATGTGTGGCACCTGCTTAACCTGTTTGAATGGCTCCTCAGCATTGTGAAGACTTTAGTCAGAAGTGTCACATTCACAGAGAATTCTATAAGTAGTTGTATTCGTGGGGTATAAATGTCACTAAGGAATGTCCTCAGGGATTTGCCAAACATGAATGGACAAGACAGGTCCATGTGCTGTGTGACAGCAGGATGGGGCTGAGCAGATTTGCAGCTCAGAGATCTCCAGTGGTCACAGGGCAGTGAGTTTTACACTGTGCCAGGGTGTAGGATGCATTTCAAAGGAGACTGGATCCAACACAATACTCTGAGACTGGCCTGACTGCATGCCAGGAACAGCATCCTTGGATCACAGCTCTAACTAAAGATGGAGTCAGTCTGTGAACTTGAGATCCAAAGCTCTTTACAAGTTCTTTTCTTCATTGTGCAATTTTTAACTCTTTTGCTGCATGAGATCTCACACATTTAGTGCCTGTGTCAGAATCTGATTAGCTTCCCATCCGTAGCATGAAAACAGTGCTGTTAATCCACAAATTACAGACCTTTCCTGCTTTTGAGGCTGCTAAAAGATAGAGTTACATATGGAAACTGCTTGGATAAAGGGGGTGTTCATTATTGCCATGTGTTTTTTGTTTCTGAAATCTGACCTTTCTAGGCTGGCGCTCTATAAATAGGTTCAGTTTCAGCTGGCAGTGCAGGGTCGGAAGGAGCATGCAGAGATGTTCCCAGATGCACACCTATCAGGTTTCTGCTTCCCCAGCATGTGAACACTCAGGCATGAGATCACGTGGGGAGGAGGAGTTATATCTGACAAATTAACTGTCACAGCACCAATCTGCAGCTGATAATGTCCTTTGCAGCAGGACCCTCTGAACACCAGGCAGTGACACAGGGGCACACAGGCCTCTCCCTGCCCTCTGGCCTTCCTCCTCCCACTGCTCACTGGGAACAGGCTGTCCTACATATTAGCAGTGAACCTCACAGGACTAGGAAACTGCCCTCACATTAGGTCTGGGAGGTTCTTGTAATGCTGTCTTGTTTTTCCTCCTAGCAAGCCATGCGGTGCCACCGCAGCCAACTGCTCTGGTTTCGCCACCTCTATGTGCTCTTCTCACGCTACATGGTGGTCAACTCCCTTCGTCTTCTGTAGCTTGGACCTCACTCACAGCTCCAGGAGGAAACAAAGGAGCAAAGAAACAAAGATTGTGCCAGCCCAGGGCTAAAGAAGACTCGGTGTTATGTTCTCAAGAGGACAGGATGCTCTTTGTGCAGCATTTTCAGACTACAAAACCCAGGCTGTGTGCACTTCTTCTGAATGTCTGAGAGGAACGTGGTTTAACAGCTATTCCATTTCCTCATTGTAGAAGCTTAAATAGGACGATAAATTTGGATTATCTTAATTAGGAGTCAAATGCAGGAGTATCCTGCATTGGAGAAGATACGGCACAAACTGTTTGCCCAAGAAGATACAGCTGCAAGGACTGCTTGGTAACTATCTCATGGTGCTTTTGTAAAATCCAAAGACCATGCTATCTCCACAGATACCAGAACCACAAGACTGTTCTTATTCATTCAGAACTTTAAAAAGCCAAAGCTTTTGAATAAAACATCAGAAACCATACAAATGTCTCTAATTGTACTGCTCTTTGCTGCTGCTTCTTTCATATACATTGTGTTGCAGGCTCCACCTTCACAGTGTCCCTCATGAAACATGATCATTTCTTCTTGCTTCAGAACATGGGGCTCAAGATCAACTCACAAGAGTCTCAGCAGAGAATGAGGTGCAAGAGACCTAGACTGTAAGCAGATCTTTTATACTGTGATTTAAAGCTTAGCACAGCTAAAGGCAAAGTACCAAACTAGCAACCCTGGAGTGGTTTATGGAGCAGAGGCAGTTTGAAAACTGAAAATCACAAAGGAATGAGACAGTCAGCATAGAAAGATTTATTTAAGAAACAGAGAACAGTAATGTAGAGATTGACTTCACCAACCATCACCCAGGAAATCCCAGAGTGCACTCCATGGCAGTGCTCCAAGTTCAGCTCCTGGAAGGCTGTGTCAGGTTTTTGACATATTCCTGATGGTCTTATGCTCCTTCACTGCTTTCTCCCATTCCTTGCCGTTGATATCCTCTGTGCTAATGCTCTGCACAGTGCCATCATCCAGGCAATGGGGAGCTATTCCTGAAGAAACAGAGTACATAGAAACCTGCTTTGCAAAAAGTGAGGGAGATCCCTGCACCACTCCATGGATGGAGCATCTCAGGGAACAGTAAATGCTATTGCTGTAAGGCTGAGGAGCCAAGATGAGAATCCTGTCACTGGCAGCAGCCCACACATCATAGGTAAGACTGTTTCTTATGCAGGAGCTACAGGTTCAGACTGCAGCTCCACATGTTTAGCACTTTAGGAACAAACGCCTAAGACACATGCTGCTCACTGCTGTCATGTTAGCATGCAATGGAGCCTTTATCCAAGGTCTGCTTGGTAGTAAAATTTGGTTGCCATAGCTTTGTACCTACCATAACCATCTGGGTTAGAACGAGGAGTATAAAAGCTCTGAACACCACAGGTCTTGCAGAATGTGTGCTGGGCACGGTGTGTGTTGAAGGTGTACGTTGTCAAGTTGTCAGCACCCTAAGCAAATGAAAAGCAGTGTCAGTTTTCCATATAAACAGATGTATTCATTACTTTCTATGGGCCTGTAGCCAAGAAATGTAAAATTTACAATATCACCTTCCTCTCTTTACTTGAGATACAGAGCTCTGCAGTCATGTTCCTTTTCTGAGCCCTGTGTTTTGTACATGGGTCCACAGCCGTCAAGTCTGAGAACTGCAAGAGCTCTAACATCAGCTTACTAAATAAGAGGCACTAACACACCCACACCAGGCAGCACAAAATGCAGCCATTTTCCCCAAACTCAGCACAGAAAATTGGCTATTTCTTGGCTCTTTGAGGATAACACTGGATTATACTGCTCATGGCCATGCTCTTACTGTGTTCTTACTCTACCTGCAGCAGCTTGAAACGCGACGCTGGGACAATGAAGTGTCTGTTCTGTTTCTTTGTGCAAATGCTGCAACTGCAAAAGAAAAAAAAGACTTTTCTAGAAGCAGTGGACAAGTTGTAGTGCAGCAATCAGATCTAACATGGACTTCTTGACAAAAGATATTCCACTGACAGCTGGAATGGCTCCTGGTTGGCATCACAGAGGTAAGCAGCAAAGGTGGACTCGGTGGTGTTTGGCACACCCACAGAACAAACTAACCCTACACAGGTACCCCCATATGGGATTCTCCTACACCAAACATTACATTCTTCACATAGACAACACCTAAGGACAAACTCCAGCCCTGAGAAATCCACTTAATCATTCAGAGCATGCTTGGCCAGTTTTGCCAACATTAGTTATCTTGCCAACAAGTCAGTAGGTTCAGAAGTTCACCCATGAGCTAGAAGCAAACTAGCTGCAGGCAAAGGAGGATCACTACTGAAATCAGAATGGTTTAGTTTGAGGCACATGTGGTCAGCGATGTAATGTCACTTGAGAAGACCAAGTTAAAAAAGGACTGATGAGGAAACACAAGGCAGATGGCTGAGCACCTGGACCCAGTAGCTCTCTGCTGACTGCATGAGCACAGCTGTGAGACCTGAGGTCCTGCCCAGAGAATCAGCACCTGAAATCACCATCACTGATCTCATATTGGAGCAGGACATAATTAGGATTAAACCCTATGGAAACAGCTCAGAGGGTGTTGTGCAGCTGTGTCATCTTCCAGCTCTAAGGCTGGAAAAGCAGCTAAGCTGATACTCATCTATGAGAACAGGGAACAAAACAACTCACTTGCAGTTGAACACGTGCAGATCTGCTGAAGCCCAGACCTCGAAGCGGACAGCTCCGCAGTGACATCCTCCTGTGTGCTTCACCAAACCTCTGTACTCACTGGGGACAGAAACAACAGAGCTGCTGTGATCATACTCTCCTTCTTTTTTGGCCAAGAAAACAGTAAGGCTTCATATGACATTATTCAGTTCTGCCTTGAGCAACTGCAGAACACCAGGAGATGTATCCACCCAGTATTTTAATAACAAGTGTCAGAGTGAGGTCGGGAATGGCTTCTGTCCTCCACAGCTTTTGTGGTTTAATTAAAATGGTGAAGAGGAAAGAAGAGAACCAGTTTAAGGCCCCTCAGCTCTGTACACCACAGCTCCACCATCCAGGTCACAGTGCTCACCCAGGCTACAGCTGTGTCCAAGCACAATGTACACAGAAACCAGGGTTATTCCCCCAGGACAACCTGCTTGGAACCGAGAACTGAATTTCCCCACAATCTTCCTCACAACTCCTCCAGCACCACTAACATCCCTCCATTTAAAAGCAGAGATAAGCGGATTCTACATAACATTTTGAAATACGGTTCCTTCCATATTGCAATTGCAAAGGAACTTTACGATCAAGGAATTTCT